TACATAATACCAGGAGCGTATAATGACAAATATGACAAATATAATGACAAATATAATGACAAAAATTTGTCATTATACGCTCCTGATAATACAGTGACACAATGTTCAGTGCTGTGGAACTGTAATTGAGAAGTACGGGCGTAGGGCTCATAGGGTCTATGTCCCCCAGGGTATTGCCGGAACGTACCCTGGTAACTATCTGATATGGTTAGGGGTAGGGTTAAGATTAGGGTTAGGGAGTAGGCTTAGGCGACTCCCTAGACTCGTTATAGTGAAGTAGGCGAGGTACGGTCCGGCATATTAGATAGTACCAGGGTACGTTCCGGCAGTACCCTGGGGGACATAGACCCTCTCAGCGGTAGTAGGGCCTATTTGTGAATATGCGTTCATATTATTTTCAGTTTTTACTGACTCTGTCCCAAGTGCCTGTGGGTTATAGTTCTAGAGCTAAGCTACACTGTGCTGCCCACGTGGATTTGATTTGCTGGTTAGAATCAGATGCCATTTTACATAAAAGTCATGTTGAGTAAATGCTACACTAAGAGAGTAAGACAGTAACAACCCTCCCACCAGCATAGTACACACATTTCAAAGCCTAAACTCTAGGGTAGCGGGTGGCTCGGGTTATAATTACTGTCTTCTATCCATCCCGGAATTTCTACCCATATGTTGAGTCCGCGTGGCTGGATATAGTGTTTAAATTGTGAAAATCCAGTAAGCTTCTCTTAATTCTTTCTATTGCGGATCGTATGGGGTTGGTCGGCGGGGCTTGAAAATATTTGTTCAATGCCCCTGCACTGGAAACCCGCTGGGGTGGGGTTGTCGCATGAAAAATTAGCACTGATGGGTTTGCTCAGATATACGACCGTGTTCTTAAATAAAACATTGTTATTTGTTAAGGAATTATTCGACTGTATCTGTCCCGCCAAAACCTGTACGCCGTAGGCAGTATGTACAACTATCTCAAACTGTTCAGGTTTCCTGCAGAAATGTCGAGGAGGCACCAATATAACGTACTTCTTCAAAATGGGTGTGCTCACAGTAGGCACACATAAGATAGATACCTAAAGATTTCATTTAGAGATTTTCCTAATTAAAAAAAACTATGCCATGACAGGGTTCTCCAAGGGCACTTATAGCCTGGCGGCGCGATAGACGAGCCCCGCAATCCTAAAATGCACCCGCCACGCTAAATATCATAGCCGCAATGCTGGTGTATACAAGAGGAGAATTTCAAACAATTAATTAATACACGTTGGTCTCGATGCTACGGGTATAGTACGGTAGTCCCACTATCCATATCCCATATTACCCCCTATACATATATCCCCTATTATCCTATACCAAAATTAATCTATGGTGTATAACCTTTTGCTTTAAATATTTTGCATCTGAACTGACAATCAATCCCAACCAACTGGTGTAGGCTAGCTGGCACAATAATGTTCATTTTCATACTTCAAATCCGAGTGTTTTCCAGCTCATCAAGAAATCTTAATCGTGAATTAAATCGTGAATTAATTTCCAACGGCATTATTACGGGGCAGGTAACCCAGTAGCCCATTCACTGCGTAGGACGTAATATTACGTCATGCACAATGTACACTTACATTGCGTAGGGCGTAATATCACGTCCTGATACTGGCGCCTCAACCTATTGTTAGAAACTGTACGTCACTTGGGGAATCCCCCCAGGATCGTAGCACGAGTAGGGCGTAATATCACGTCCTGATACTGGCGCCTCAACCTATATTGTTAGAAACTGTACGTCACTTGGGGAATCCCCCCAGGATCGTAGCATGAGTAGGACATTATATTACGATTTGTATAATGGTTCGTCTGAGTGCGTAGGACGTTATAGTACGCCTTGAAAACGTGGGCAACGAAGGTGCAACTTAGAGAGAAGAGGATGGGGCGTCCATCCTTGGGTGACACTCCCTTGCGCCTCGCTGATCGTCACTTCCTTAGCCGCATCCCCCCAACACCCAAGAAGTAGTACCCTCAAAGAAAGACTTAGAAAGTGTCATGTCTGCTTTGCAAAAAGCATCAGGAGAGACACAAGTTACATGTGTTCAAGGTGTGAGAAGCTTTTGTTCATCACTCCATGCTTTGAAACTTACCACTGTGTCTAAAACTACGCTCGCTAAGTTGTGCCGAGTTGTGCTGGACTGCGAAGGATCCTCCCATCCCCCTGGATCATGTCCCTCTCCCCCAGTAAAAGTTATGGCACAAAGTCTAGATGTAGAAGAAAGTAATATGTACACTCTTCTGTCCCGAAAAGGAGACCAATTGTAAAATTGAATTGTATTTTTCAACAATTTGTCAAAAAATTTGTGAAAAAGGGACTAAAATACAATATATAAAAAAATTGCACTCTTTCTTTTATTATTTTACACTTAGGACAATAGAAGAACACATATTTGACATAGAAAATGCAACAGAACATGTATAGGAGCAATAACAACAGTGCTATACAATCAGGAATAAAAAAGGTCAAAAAATAACGTTTTTCGTGAAATTAAGTACACAATGGGGAGCAGTTAAGGGTTAAATAAGTACACAGTTAATGGGCTTTAGCATGAGGTAGAGCTCACTCCTGCCATTGTCAATGGTGACAAATTTTTTTATATTTATTTATGAGAGGTGAACTCGATTTGAAACCAGCAAACCAGCAAGTTCACCCCTACATTTTGGTATTTTTATTCCATTAATTATTTTGAATTTTCCAATGGCTTTGCCCATGCAAAACAAACATTTTTACCCCACATGCAGTGCTTCAAATTTACACACAGTGTGTCCCAGATTGCATCTCAGAGCTTCTACAATTCAAACATTTTCCGGGAGGGCATGCCCCCGGACCCCCCTAACACTGAGTACCACCCCCATGCTAGCATTTAAAAGCTTGGAGAACCCTGCATGAGTATAGCAACTCACAGCAAAAGTCGATCACAGGTTAACAGTAGAATATCCGGGTAGACCCAGAGCTGATGTTATTATGGGATATACTGGATCTGAGCAAGGCATATTGGTTGGCTTCATATATTATGAACAACCATCGTCAGAAACAATCTATTAGTGGGGACAGATGCTATGTATGTACATATGATACGTACACGTACATATGATATCAAGAGCTAATAAACACCAGGGGCCCATTGTCAGAAACATCGTAAAGTTAATGCTAATGTTAATGCTACGATAACACTTACGCACTATAGTTAAATGCTACGAGAGTAGCGTGAACAGAAACACATCTAGGAGACCTCTACGAGAAACTCACATAAAAGGAACTTCATAATTTCATGTACAAGGTAGCTGATTGATGAGAAAACTCGATCACAAAATTCAAATTCATACACATTTATTGTACATCACAGTAATTTATGCATATTATGATGGCTAACCACATATAAATAATATTTTATGAAAAACGCCGTGGTCATGAATTTATTCTGCACAACAAGACAAATTCTCACACTGTTAACGCGAGACGCGAGAGTCGTGGTAAGCGTGCAAGCATTTAAAACAAGAGAACAAATGCCATACGCCAATTGTAAATGTATTGTTTTGGTTTACGAACGGTAGATAATTAATGTTTTCAACGTGTTTTTCAAGAAAAACACACATTTTACTCATTATTATAAAATATAATATCAGTATAATTGTAATTCGTAGTGTAAATGTGTTGTTTTCATCTTAATATTAAAGTTACGAGAGGGTCTGGGCTCTCGTAATGCTAAGAAGATATTTTCGAGGATTTTTCATTCTCGTAACTTTGCGATGTTTCTGTCAACGGTTTACGAGTGGAAGTTAATGTTATGACTAATGTTAGGACTAATTTTGTTTCTGACAACGGGCCCAAGGTGTTTATTAGCTCTTGATGATATGTATATATATGCTACATATCACGTATGCTTCCCCCAGGCATGCTGCAACGTAGTCAACCAGTAGTTTGTCAGCGATTTCTAAATGCGTTACGTTGACGTCAGGAGGTGTCATTCTTACCGGTAGATTACATAATTACCTTGAACGATATCGAGTACTGATATATGATGAGAAAAGAGAAAATGTGCCTGCAGCACAACAGCAATATGTTATATATGGGGATGGCTGTTACTGCTGCTGCGGTTTCTGCTACTGCTGCTGTTGCTGCTGCTGCTGCTGCTGCTGCTGCTGCTGATGATGATGATGATGATGATGCTGCTGCTGCTGCTGCTGCTGCTGCTGCTGCTGCTGCTGCTGATGATGATGATGATGATGATGAACGGATGATGATGATGAACGGATGATGATAATGAGGATGATGACGAATTATATGATGATGACGATGAGGATGCTGCAAATGCTACTGCTGCTATTACTGCTGCTGCTACTATAGTATTGTATCTGCTACTGCTGCTATTACTGCAATTTCTGCTCTTACTAGTACTGCTGCTGCAATTGCTGCTATTAATGCTACTGCTACTTATTTGCCAAAGAGCAGTCTTGGAACTAAGTCTCTAAATACGCAGCTAGTCCTGGTTTCAAACATTATAATTTTTATTATATAAAGAAAAGAAGATGAGGAAGAAGAAAAAGAAAAAGAAGCAGAAGAAGAAGAAGAAGAAGAAGAAGAAGAAGAAGAAGAAGAAGAATTATATAACCTATATATATATAACACTGTGTGTCATTTTCAACTTGAGATACCACAAACTGGAAATCAATATTTGACCCTTCTCCTCGGACCATTATTCTTTCATTTGAATGGTTCTTTCAACAAACGCAATAACATGCTAAATATACATGCACTTTGATTTTAATGTCTTGAAAAGCTTCCTAAAAAATTTGCACCATATAAAATAGTTTTTGGATTGCTTTTGAATAATAATATGAACACGCTGTGTGAAGATGTTTTGCTTTATGCAGCTATCATTGACACTCATACGATCATTAATACTGAGTTACAAACAATATCTAATTAGTCAATCTATCTACTTAGTTGCTTTCTCTATCATACTCACCCCAAGCCTTGACTTGACAAGCCCTGAAAAATATAAGACGAAATCATAATTATATGTTGCAATTGGAACTCAGACAATAAAATTGCAATTCATTTATCAAATTACATATTATATCTTTGATGTAGTCTATTGTAACTGCATTACAGATAATCGGCTAGAGTAATAATGTTAGTGTAACTGTAAACAGCAATTATATTATAACTGACCATGCATGCACAATAACAAAAGTAAGTTTTTGTGTATAAAAAATGAACATCTGATGGGTGGTCGTTCGATACACGCAAAATGTCGAGATAATAATTTATACATTATACTGTTTATTATAATACTGCACATGTATATTATGTTTAATATCCATATACCGCTTTCAGACCCATAAACACACTACTTCACACGACAGGGTATTCAGTGCCTACTAAACGTATTACTGTAGGCACTAACACGTATTATATATCTAGTATTCACATGATTTATTTTCGTTATCAACGTTGGAACACGAAATACATTGTGTACATGTCGAAAATTCACGGAAAGGCGCCCCGTTGGCAGGTAAGCCTACGTGCATGGCATGGCATGACGTACATGCAGATGATAAACATGGTGGTAAAATGTTAAGATAGCATGTGGTAGCTGGGGTGCTGGTGTACCATGAGTAGTCATTTAGTAGCGATCTTATACGCGGACGCTATACGATCACGAGAGGCCAAGTAACGTAATAACCAGTATTACAATAATCCTGTGTAGCATTTGCGTGAAGCGCTATAAACACCTGCCCTTGTAGATGGCACGCCTTACCGTAAACACTTACTCACCCAGCAGTTCCCCTAATGATTATCAACCCCCCCCCCACCCCCACCCTGCCACTGTAGCATTGAGCTACTACTACTACTATGCAGGTACCACGGTGGCAAATCAACCAATGAGCGCTGGGATAGGGCAAAAAAGAGATCGTATTTGAGTGTACGCGTACGCTTGAATTTTGTATTTCTCATTAGAAAGGGTCAGAACTCTGTGCAATTGTTAATTTCATAAACTAGAATCTTTTCTGAATCCGACAGTGTAAACGGCTCGTCCGAGGTGCGTTGCGTTTGCGGCCGGAGAAATTTCAAAGCCTACTTTTTTGTGC